CAGTGACTGCAGATTGCTTCATAGTGCTGCATCTTACCCCCTTGTGCCACCAGGGAGGTCCCGAAATGGTCTTCTTTAGTCTCTAGGAATTGTTCTGTAAGGACAGATATTCATATACGTCAAATTACAGTCAATCAAATGTTAACTTCACAGTTCTACTGTTTGTGAATCACATATAATCATCACACACATCACACATTTATCTCTTTTTTCACTTCTTTGGCCTTGAAACAAAATCTCAGCTCACTTCACACCTACTTCTGCCTTCAGAGCATTTACCACAGTTTGAAATTACGTTTATTTGTGTGTGTGGCATATTGGACATGATCACGAAATTATTGTTGAATTTTATTTGCTTAGTGTTATTGAAGAATAATTATTTTGTTTTGTTTAAAAAATTTAAAACACTGCTCATTTACAAATATAAAATGAACATTAATCACATATTTCAATTCAATTTTGAGATGACCAAGACTAGTTCCAAGGAGAGATAGAGATTCAGAGATTATTATAGACGATTGACAAAGATGGACTAAGATGTCTAGATTAGATTCAAAACTTTTCAATGTCACATGGCTAATAAATAGTCGCCTTAAGGTTCCATAGTGTAGTGACTATTGCATCTGCTTTCTACCCAGAAGATCATGGGGAGTGATTGCATTCTGTGGATTTTCTACCTTGCTACCATTCAGAAGACTCTGGGATGTCTACTGGATGATAATCAACATTGTCTACCCTTGCCAGTAGAGGGAAAATTTCATAAAAGCAAATATCATGTCTTTTACTTTACTCAAATTAATTCTTTTACAAAGAATGTTATGTCATGTCCATAAAAGGAGAGCCAGTATTTACTTTCCATTGAGCCATGTTAACACCCCACAGTTTGCCCAACAGGACAGTGATGTGCTCACCATAAAGATGTATGCAAAACAACAAGTTTTCTTTAATGTCAGGAAAGCACATAGTTTGCAAGTTACAGTTTTGCCAATGAGGCACAGAAAGTCTCCATCATAGAGGGACACACTTTCCTGGTCACTGAAAATGTGCTTTCTGGGATGCTAGTTGAAGCTCAGGTCCTTTTTTCTGGGTGAACCTTGTTCTTAGTAAGCTTAGATTTCAGGTGCTTGAGGTCTATTCAAACAACCAATACAAGCCATTACAACGAATAATGTCGAGTGTCAAAGGCTCTCAATCTGAAGTCAGCTCTCTTCTTGTTAAAAAGGGACATTAACCAGTGTTAGAGAGGTGTTGAGTACATCCTAGCACTGCTCTGAGACTTTCCCTCTGACATTAGGAGGGTGATTGACCAAGAATGAAAACTAGTAACTATGTTGCTAAGTGACTCTAATTCTTTAAATTGCACGACTATTATACATATTGGGGAACACAAGCCTAGAGTTGATGGTTAACAGTCTCTCATGCTTTAACATTATTGTTCTTATTATTATATAATAGCATTCTAGAGATGCAAGAGACATTAGCAAGCTTCTAACCCAAGGTTTCGAAGAAACAGTTCAGGCATGTGATATGGGAACAAAAATTAGAATTCATGACTCCCAAGTATAATCCAGTGCTCCTGACAATTGAATGATTTCTCTTAACAAACTTAAAGATAGCTTTGTTTCAGGCCTCCTCGGTGGCACAGCAGGTTGAGCACCGCCCTGTGAGGCTGTCCGCAGCCTCTGCAGCGAGGGTTCAATTCCCGGCCTGCCAGGGAGATTCCCAGATGGCATGGCAGACCTCTCCTGCCTTGCCTGCTGCTCCCCTCAGTAGTGTCTTCAGTCCATCTGCCTGTTCTGCTCCCCACTCTGTCTCTGGTGAATCCTCTCAACCTCCCTAGCCTCTGGCCTACACCCCAGCTCTCATATAAATAAAAAAATAAAAATAAAAATTAAAAAAGATAGCTTTGTTTCCTTTCCATTGAGTTTTGTTTCTAGGTTGACTGGATTAGTCAGAAGGATATTATGTATGGTAATAGGACCAGTACGATGACTTCTGAGAATGCTCAGAGTAATCCTGGTAGGCAGCATCAAAATAACCTCAGTAAGAGAAGGTATAGCCTCTGGTGCTGGAGCTGCTAGGGTTTATTTTCCCATCTCTGCCCCTTACTATCTGTGTAATATTGGGTAAATTATTTAATGCCTTTGGACCTCAGTTTCTTCATCTGTAAAATGGGAATATTCTTCAGGCTTCTTTCATTGAGTTATTGCGAAGATTGAGTAAATACAAAGCACATAGAGAAATGCTTGGCACATTGTAAGCATGGTATGAAGGCGAGACGCTACTGTGATTGACCTGCCTGCTTCTCAGATGACTCCATTTTACTTTTCATTCTCACATTCTAGCATTTCTGTTGGTTTTAGAAAATAGCATTTATATAGTATACATGATTATAGTCTTCCTTACATGTTGACAGAGTAGCCTCACAGAGAAAATCCCCTAGCTTGCTTCCAGAACTAAGTTCAAGTGGATTGTATATCTTTAAGAGAAAGAAAAATGAATATTTAAAAAAAGAACCTCAATCAGCGTTTGTTCATATGGGACAAAGTGATGTCAAATGAGCAAGAGGGTTGGAGCACAGCAAACGGAGAAATTGACTGAATGCAGGACAAGATAGTGAAAGAGAAATAAAGATGGAAAATAAGATTTTAATTGGATCAGAAGTAAAGGGAATTTAAAAGTTGTCCTTGAATGAAGGAAAGTTCTGGACTCCTTTTCATATGACTGCAAAACACCCTCAGTAAGAAACCCCACAATTCCCCAACCAGGTATATGTTTTAAATGGTCTTAATCCAGGCAGAAGGATTAGATTATGTAAATGGTTATGATGGAATCCTCTGATTTTTTTCCTGTTGATTTTTAAAAAGTCAGTTCAGATGGATCTTCTTAGGCAAACAGAGGACTTTCTCCATTTCAGAATTTTCTCTTGAAAAACATTTATGGTATGATTGCTATGTGCCAAATCCAGCTGGAGGAGGTTCCCTCAAGGAGTTGATAATTGAATGGGTAAAAAAACAGAACACATGAATAAGTAATGGGAATGTAAATTACTCAGCAGAATTGAACACAGGGTGTTGTGGTCCATTTATCACCAGACTGTGGCATTGGAGAAAGGCAGATGGCCAGATCATAGAAAGGAAAAAAAATCTCACACTGTGTGCTGGTGAGTTGCCACTTTGGCTGGCTCTGGACATACCATTTTAAGAGGGACACCTGGAGAATAAGGTAATTGTAGTAGTAAAACAAGCTGGTGCTGGCGATCTTTCCCAGAAAAATGATAAGGAAGGACTATTGATATATCAGGCAGAAAATAGTGAGTGCATCATGGGACACAACATATGAAAAGTGTGGATTCTTTTTCTAGTGTTTGCCAGCAAAACTGGATGGAAATAATGAGGAAGCAGTTTGGAGAGCATTATGAGAATGTAATAAGTCATGTATGTTACTTAGAGTAGAATAGGCTATATTTTGAGGTAGAGAACATTTGACCACTGAAAGCATTCAAGTAATTTTTGGATAACCACATGTAATGGTTGTTAACCAAGAGATTCCTACATGGTGAACACTTGAGAATTATTTACTACTCTAATGCTCTGTGAATACTAAAGTCTAAGACAGAGTTAAAATAGAATTATATTTCATCAAAAATATTTAAGAGTACATCTCTTTTGAAAAAAGCATACAGATGTCATTTTGTCCCTAATAAACCGGATGGATTTAGACCAAATCCAGCCTAACTACTTACCACAAGATGTCACTTCTTACAAGTACATCTTCAACCCTGCTAAATTTTAATTATAACCTTCTTGAAATTCTCTCTCATAGAATTATTTTTTTCCTTTATAACATTAGCACAACTTATAACCATACCTCTGCCACTTAAATTTCAAAAAAGCATGAAGCACTGAATTATTCACCACTGCATACCTACGACTCAGTGTTGGTGACAATAGTAGCATGTCAGAGACAATCATACAGTTGCTGAAATGAATTAAGCAATGTAAGTTTCTATACCTTGGTTCCAAGTTTTCCTACAAAGTGGAATTAAAAATGTTTGCCCTCAGATGTGCTGAAATATGTGTATGTACTTAGTAATAACATGATAAATGTTTAAATTTGTATTGTGTATGCATATTATAAAATTTAAATGTATCTATCTAAATGTTAGCTTCTACATGGTTGAGCACATAGAAAGTGTGCCATAGCATGAAAATTATAATTGGCTAATTGTTATTGTGACTCCCCTACCAACCACAACCATCAATATTAAGGATCTAGAATGTGTTAAAGAACTTTAGCTGACGGGAATTCAAGATGTGAACTCTGGTTCTGACACTCACGGTTCTATAAATCCAGTTGGGGATCCAAAATGCGCAGGTAAAGGTAACAGTATCAGACACAGAGATTTCTTTAAGCATTTAATAGTGTATTGGGTATGGGAAATGCAAAGGTGGATTCTATTTGGAATCTGTCATCACATAAAACAGAGTCTGGTACATAGGATGCACTGGCAAAATACTTATAAGATTGTGAGAAAAGATTAAGAAAGAGAGCAAGGAAAGAGTAAACTAAGTCCACAATATTTAAGTCTGTCTGGGAAAACCAAGGCAAGAAAAGGAACTCAGATCAAGGACTTACAGGAGATAGGACTAAAGTTCTGAACATGATAATATAGATGAATGTACCCATTTCTACTATAATGAAACCTCCAGACTAGTTGGTAAGTCATGGTAACCCCATGCCTCATCCCAGAATTTAGCACCTTTCCCACCTAGTCTCTCTTGGGAAGTCATATCCCAATAAACCAGCTATTAAGGGGTTAATTCCTGAAGCTGCAGGAGTCCTTGAGAACCTTGTTTGTGTAGCAAGCCTAATTGGTCTTTGCCAGAGCATTATCTCTTCTTAAATATTTTAATTGTGAACCACTCCCCAGAGAATCTGGGAGCTGGGGCTCAGGGAGGAGGAAGAGAAAGTAGGAGGAAGAAAGGAACAACATAAAAGTAAAAGACCAGGCGGTTTGAAATTACTGGAATTCAAGGTGAGCGGGAAGGAAGGAATGGATGAGTGGACCTAGGTGATGAAGGACAAATATTATACAAACAGGGCCCTGTCAATAGACTAAAGGAATTGAAATCTATCACTCTCTGGTTTTGTGGCAAAGGACAAATCATTTGTGCACATTAAGTCTCAAATTATCGCCTATAGAATGGGTATAATGAAAACGTCTTACCTCAGGTAGTTGTGAATATTGCATTATCCATGACAAATGCTAAGCACAGAACCTGGCAAAAAGAATGCTACTATTATCATTGAGTGGCACTATTCGTAATGCTTTGCATGCACCATATTATCCATCTCTCAACATTTCCGTGATTGAAAAAGATGGCAACTCCCAGGTCATGAAACATAAGATGGAGTCTACCATTAGGACAGGTGGGCACTTCACTCTGAGTTTACGCTGATGCTATTTGGCCCACTGTCACTCTGAAAGTCAGAGGTGGATAAGCTAGATTGACTCAGCTTTGCTGCTGTAACAACACAGGCGGTTTCAATGTCCCAGTCTGATACTTTCAAAGCCATCTGGTATATAATAAAATTGCATCACTCTGAATTCCATAAGAGCACTCTAAACAAGAGAGGCACCACAGCCAGCAAGGCATGAATAGAGCTCAAAATACATACTGAAACAGTGAACAGAAAGGAGAATTAGCCTTTAAAAAAGTATCTATGAAAATATAATGTAACCCTAAAAATCATCTCTTTTTTATGATATCTTGTTTATTGTTCAAAAAATATGGGAAAAAAACAATCCATAAGTACAGAAAACAGATTGGTGTTTGCTGGAACTGTGGGGAGGGGAGAGTGGGTAAAAGGGGTCAAAAAGTACCAACTTCCAGTTATAAAATGAGTAAATTCTAAGCTATTTTCTGTGTTACAGTTTGGCCTTAATTTTGTTACCTTTAATATAAAGGTGTCAAATGCTAATTTCAAAATTAAAAGTAAGTGCAACAGTGGGCAGAGAAAAGAGTATCATGTCTAGGTTAGTATGCACAAGGAAAACTTCCTAGAGATAGAGAAAAGAGCAGAGAGGGACTTTGGGTCACTACATTTCCTGGAAACCTTGTTTTGCTTTTTAACTTCACCTTTTCAGCTAGCTGTATCGTGTAACTCTTCAAGAAGTTTTTCTTTAAAACCCAGTGATTAATTCATTTGATTTCCTAGATTGCCATCTCTCTGAATCAATCAGATTAAATATTGTTCTCAGAAGATGGTGGTGATATCCAAAGAGAATCAGTCTTCCAAGTGGACCTGCATTCAGAGATAACCAAGTTCAAGGCTTTTGTGGGTATTAGGATCAGGTTAATCTAAAATATAATCAAATTCCAATCCTCAAAAATAAACTTTTTACTTCTGGGAGATAGATTTTATTTAACCTTCAAAAAACTTACTTGACTTTCTTCCTTGTTTATTTTTTATTTTTTATACTGGTTAGGAGTAATGATCTGCCTTTTATTCTATTTTGGAAGGTGTTCTTGGCTCCCACTAACAGTGGTGGAAGAAGTCAGTCATCACTCAGCAGTGGAAAGTGCATGATCAGCCTTTGAACCCCCAGGCGCGGTTACTAGGAGGTCTCTCTATTCAAGTATATACTTCACGTCTCATCGAGTCTATGCTTGCTTATGGTCCCGCCTCTCTTTCTACGCTGCCCTGGAAATCTAAGGTATTTTTCTTCCCTGTCCCCTACCATATATTATGACCTTTCTACTTGGGGCAGAATTCCCAGACCACTCACCAAATAAAGAACCCATTTTTTTTTTTTTGATACCCATCATCTTTACCATGATGACATTACCCAGAATCCTCATACTGCCCCCCAATAAAACCTTTCATTCAGCAATTCCTTGGAAAAGATTTAGCCAGGTCAATCATAAGATGTACCAGTGACACAGTTTGACCAAGATTTGTATATTAAAAGAAATGATAATCAAGAGCATGTGAAATTTAGACATTTAAGAGAGGAGAGGGTATTGTGAAAGAGATATTGTATGTGGAAAATGATATTGATCAGAAAGGAAATTTTGAATGCATACTTGTATTGGATCAAAGAAAAGATGTCATGTTTAGTTAGTAAGGATTTAAAAAAAAGATGAAGTTAGTATATTCGGAAGAAATTCTGACTGTGGAGAGAAACAATTCTGTGCTCACTACAGAAGAGAAAGTAGCAGCAAAAGCTACTTTGCATTTATCTAGCTACCTCATACAGGAATCAGAAACATAGTATGAATCTGAGCAGAGGGGACTGTCCACATCAAGAATGAACTGTGTATTTTCACTGATGAAAGTGGTCTGAAAGTGAGAAAATCAGGTGAAAGGAAGGAAGCAGAATCCCGAGGGGCTGTTACATACCAAGAGGTGACCATGGGATTTAGCCATTAGCTTTCAACAGACAATTTTCTCCACATTTTGCTTCTTTTCTGCTCTTGTGTCCTTCATCTAGTCAAGTGACCCCTTTTGATGGGGAACAGGCTCTCATTAGCATTTCCTTTGCAACTCTGTACATGTAGATGTTGGTTTCTAACAGACTAGTATCTGAGCAACTTGTGGCTTTGCCATGGCATAGCCATATGCTCACCAAAGTTGCCTAATCTAGTTGGACCTCATCTATAAATCAGGGGTTGGGCTAAGGTAATAAAGAGAGCTGAGAATTTCTTTAATATAGGATCTACATGGTGTTTCAGACATAAGATTCTGCTGTTTAGAAAGTAGAGTGGGGAACAGAAAGGCAGACTGACCAAAATACACTGCTGAGGGGAGCAGCGGGTGAGATAGGAGAGATCTGCTGCATCATGTGGGCATCTCCCTGGCCAGGGATCGAACTCATGCTGCAGTAGCAGCGAATAACTTCATAGGTTGCATCTCAAAGCCCCTGCACCACCAGGGAGGCCCTGGTAACCATTTTATATAGTACTTAAGGTTGCCAGGCAACTTTCTATCTTTAAAACAGTTGAAACCCCAAGATCTGGCACAATGGTTACAAACCCTTAAGTAGTTCAAGTAGTATTACTGCTTTGACTGAAATTGTCTTTGGCCTTAAGAATTTCTGGTTTATTGGAGATAAGCCCATAAGCCCAATACAATAGTTAAGAGCTGGGTTAGGAAACCACTGTTTCTGAGGCAGCAGGCTTATCCCTTAGACCAAACTTCTTGAGTCTTGGGGCATCGGGTAGAGTGTTTATAAGGGTATTTTGAGAGGAAGCTGAGTTTTGGCTGGTCAGTGTGACAATTCAGGTCCCCACTGTTATCTTTAGCTGTTTTTGTTTGTTTTTTTCCCCCAATCTCTAGGTTACTGAGCTGGAGCAGTTTGGAGGCAGAATGATTGGTGATCTGGAAAGTAACTCTCAGTGATCTCTGTGATTCATATGTCAACAAAAAGCTCGGAGCAGAATGTTGGAGGTTTGCTTAAGGCCTTTTAGGGGAGTTAATACATTAATGATCTAAGGGACACAACTGAGCATTCTAAAGGCTACATTCTAAATGGCTAACTGCAGCAACGGACTTTTCCCCATTTATATTTTGTTTTTGGACTTCAATTTCACTTCATACTAGCAAGCAGTAAAACTAACTGGTAACTTCTTTATTTTTTATTTATTTTTTTAAAGCTTTATTTATTTATGCCTACAAGAACTGGGGTATAGGCCAGAGGTGCAGGGGGTGAGAAGACTCACCAGAGACAGAGTGGTAAACAGAACAGGCAGATCAACTGAAATACACTGCTGAGGGGAGCAGCGGGTGAGACAGGAGAGGTCTGCTGCACCACGTGGGCATCTACTTGGCCGGGGATCGAACTCATGCTGCAGTAGCAGCGAATAACTTCATAGGGTGTGTCTCAAAGCCCCTGTACTACCAGGAAGGCCCTGGTAACCTTTTTATATAGTACTTAAGGTTGCCAGGCAACTTTCTAGGTACCAGATATACAGGATATTATTCAATTCTCTTAGAAACCCTACAAAATAGGTGTTACTATGTTCCTATTTTATAGATGATGAAAGTGAGACACAGACTAGTTAGGTAGTTTGCCCAAGATTATCCTACTATGAAGAGATGAGGCTAGACTTTGAAGCCAGCAATTCACATCTTTGTGAGTCAGTGAGTATGACACAACAGTGGTATCGTTTAGTTTTAAATTGCTATTATTTCAAGGCTAGAAAAATTTCTCCTGGATATCAGTTCCCTGCAGATCAGGCTATTGAGTTGTCAGAGTAAATTCCCAAAAGACACTAGAGAGAATCTGGATTTCCAGTTAATTAGGAATTGTCACTATATGGGAAATGAATGAAAAGGATTCTGGTAAATTCCATTTAATTTCTCTTGATCTTGTAAGTAACTTGACATGGAAAGAGCTCACAGAAAAGTCTTCTTTCACAAATCAATGACACACTGTATTCATTAATGCTTTTAGCCTTCGCAAGCCCCATTCCTCACAAAGATGAAAACTGAGTCCAGAAGACTGCAGTAAGTGATTTATTCAAACTCCAAGTAAATAATATCAGGGAAGGATTAAAACGTGTTTCCTGACTTCAGACTAAGGATTTTTATATGAGACCACATCGTTCCTATATTTCTTTCTCTGTCTAGCTCACCTCACTTGCATGCCTGGAAGTTAACAGGTGATTGGCCAGGAGCTGACTGACTCTCAGTTGATCCACCCTGGATCTCTGCCATGTAGATTCCCATTTTCGAGCAAGGAAGCATGAGTAGACTGATCCTAGGATTTTAAGTATAGCAGAAGAACAATCCCTAATGTGCAAGATGTTTTAATCCTCTTTCTGCATCATATTTACTAATGTCCCTGGACTAAATCAAGTCACATTCCCATTTTAAGGAGAAATGAAATAAACTCTAACTATTGATGAATGTGTAGGAATTAAAAGGAATCTGCCACACAGTCTAAATTTTAATGTCTTTATATGAATAATGGAGATGCCAATGTTCATTCCTGTGAGGAGCAAATGCCATGAGAGGTGCCAATTGTCTAGTATGGTGATTCAACTTAGAATTCACTCAGTAGACATCCTTGTCTTTTAAGTTCAAATGTAAGTACTATAGTTGTTAATAAAATGCAAGGAACATTCTTTATTACTTGAGTTCCAGTAGGGACCTACTTTAAACAGTCCAGGGGCAAAAAAAAAAAAAAAAAAAAAAAAAAAAGGTCTACAAATACAGACATTAAATTGTGTCACGGGAAGTTAAAAAAAAAAATCCTTTGCTTTGTGACGATGAAAATTACCTTTGGATTTATTGGTTTCATTTGGATAATATTTCTGGTTGAACTCATAAAGCTCACATTTTCATTGAAGTTAATTTATCGGAGTTATGGACAGTCATATCTGACTGCTTTATAAATGGTATAGAAGATATCAATCATTTGGTCTTGTGGTAAAATCAAAGATGGCTGCTACTTTTCTCTATATTCAGACTCTTTTAATATGATTTTCCAGTTCATCCTACCAAGACAGAAAGAGCTTATTTCCCTACCCCTTGAATCTGAGTGACCTTATGACTTGCTTTGGTTTATATGATGCAACAGAAGCAACATTGTTTGAGTCAGAGCTCAGATCCCAAAAAGACTTGCATATTATTGTTCTTGGAATGCTGTGATTTCCATGTGAACAAGCCCAAATGCACCTGCTGGAGGATAGGAAGACATATGGAAAAGAAGCAAAGCTTACCAACTAATTGTCAGCCAGCCCCTGGCCTGCCAGTCACAAGACATGTGAGACCATTTTAGATCAGTCAAGCTTCAGTTCAAAACAGACACACAAGGAAGAACAACCAAGATCAGCCTAAACATCTAGAAGAATTGCCAAAGCAACTAAGTTTTGGGCTGTTTTGTTACATAGCAGACTCTAGCTGACATAGAACTGATGGCTGCAACCCTCTGTATTCTCTTTGGCAGGCTTCATGAGTAACCTGACACCACGTGAGAATCAGATGATCCCATCTGGCTTGGTAGATATAGAATTAGAAACTTTGCTAGAAAATTCTGCCATCTTTCTGTCACCGACACAAGAATTTTGACCCAATATCCTCATTTTCATGTGCATATACACATGTGCTCAGTAAGCAGATACTTACCATTGGTGAACATATCACAAAACGTTTCTCTGTAGCATAAAGGAGATGAAATAAATTTCAGTCAGATAATTCTGACTCTTAGATTATTAGCTATGTGTTCTGATAAAAAAATATTCAACCTATTTGAGACTCAGTTTGTTTGAACTGCAAAATAAAATGGGAATTTTTTTTTGTTTTCTCCAAATTGAACTTCAACTTGGGTTACTATATTAAAAGCCAGTATTTGCATGGCCATCATCAAGTAAGTTTCAGCTACCTTGACGAGGAAATATGGAGCAGTCCAGAGACTACATGGAGAGGGAGAAGGCCCAGTACATCTCAGCCTTTCAGATATCTCCACTGAGGTACCATGCAATTGGACTGAGGTTACCCTAAACCCTTCATACAAGTCCAGCCACCTGATAAATACCAAGAGTGACCCCAGGCGACATCACAAGGAACAGAAAAATTATCCAGAGTTACCCTGCTTGAATTCCTGATGACAGAGTCATCAGATATAATAAGACAGCTATTGTTTTGAGTCAGTCAGCTCTGGGGTAGTTAAGAACAATTTGCACACGGCAGGCACTCAAGACTCAGGGTGACTGGCACCGAGGGGTTTCCTGGGGGGCAAGACTTCCAGTGTTCGAAACAGGAAAGTCACTCTTAATACACACTGGAAGTCATTGTTATTTTATACTAAAGCAGAAATGAACAATGAGGTGTTGACTTCATTTCTAGCAAAACTACCCTAAAGCCATCAAAGAATTGCATACCTTCCTAGGTGGTGGGAAACATATTTTGATGGAAACGCTGCTTGATACTGTATTTTACAGAAGACAAGCTGGTGAAAATCAGTTCTAGTTGATTTTTCTTCTCTACAAGGCATAGGTTTTTATTTAAGAAATGCTTTCTTTAAAACCCTCATACACAAAAAAGAAAATAGCACTATGATCCCCAATGATGTTTCAAACTTAAGCTCCAACAAAGGCATTTTTACTGGACCTTTGTAATAACTTTAATTATCAGAGCAACTTATAGATAAAGCTCATATCTTGCTAAAATTCGTATCTTGTGACTGTTATTTGAGCAAGACTTTAAAATTGTATATAAATTCTGTGGTCTAGGCCTGAGCTTGAATGTGCAACAGCTGTCTTTCAATGTCAAAAAAAAAAAAATCCCTCTTGGAATTACTATTTTCCTATTCAGTTCTATTATTTCAAATTACATGTTTCTGACATGTGTAATTACAAACATCCTACATTTTTTTTCTCTATTACTTTGTGGAAGTATTTCGCACTGCCTCAGAAAGCCCTGCCACCTTGCTGTTAGGTCCGGTGCTCAAGAGTACAGTGCACCCTCATGTCTCCACAGCGATTGTGTGCTTGCTCTTAGCTTGACCTCAGCCCTTTTCTCCGCCTGTGGATACTTTTCGAAAAGCCACAAAAAAGGGTGCAGGAGTTTTGACTGAGGAGCCCCTACTGTGGATGAATTGCGTGGTGGGAGTTATGGGGGTCAAGCTGGCATCTCTGGCTTCTCGAGTCCAGCTCTGCATGTAGGTATCACCCAGCATTCCCAGGAAACAGGTGGCCCAGCTTGCCTGACCCAGGGGGAGTCTGGCGAAACTGAAATGGCAGTTGCTAAAGAATTGCTTGCTTTCCCACCTGAATTCCCCACCCTCAGCTGGTAGGGTTTAGGGTGGGTATGTATTTCATTTTGTCAAAAAGAGATCAGTTCCTGTGCTGAAAGGCAAGCCTGGGGCAGCATTTGACAGAGTTGTGGACACTGGGAGGGACAATTACTGTGTAAGTGGTTCTCACGCTGGGTCTGGCATTGGGTGCCAGCTCACACATTAACTCCTTTGACAGTATTTTTGCCAGTTTACTCAGCATTCTCAAGGGATGGCTTTGTCGATTGTTTCCCTGGCTGCTATTTTGACAGTCGATAGCCCCTTGATGCCAGCTTAGACTGTCTAATAAGAAAGAAGCCAACGTGAAATTTTAAACCCAATAACTGCTGGTTGTGGGCTGGGGTGACTCCAGCTCTCTTCTCTCCCCTTTACCCCTCTTCTGAATGGTAATGAGTTTTTATCAAATGGCAGGACTTTCCTGATACTCCCAGGATCTGGGAGGGGGATCATACCCTAGCATGGGTGGCTCAAAAGCAGGGAAATATCCAAACTTTCAACAGAAACTGACAAAGGTTAATGTTAGCAGATATAATTTTATGGTAATAAGATGAATCCAGAAAACTCCATTTGGGATATTCTCTCTGTCAGTTTCCAATGAGTAGCATGATAAACTGGCCAGGAATCAAGCTCTGACTTAAACAACATAGTATGGGTTTATGAACAGAACTTGCATCCTATAGCCACATCAGTGAGACACACAGACGTCACAGCTCCCTCCATGTTATTTGTAAATTGTTGCAAAAGAAAGGAACAGAAATAGGAAGCACCTTCTTCTATAAAGCCCTTAGTGAGACATGCATCTAAGCATTTCCACAAAAGCACATCTTGTCATCCCTCTAGTGCCCACAATCAAGCTCTTTCTTGAGAACAGATGTACAGTTTGAAACTAGTTACCTTGATACTGTCACGGTTTTCTAGATTGCTTATATTGCAAGATCACAGTCCAACTTATAATGTTAACCCATTATATGTATTTCCATTTTAACTGCCACACTAAACACCATTTTTATATTTTACCAATTGAAAGAAAACTTGGAAGAAACAATATTTAAATTTTTTAGTTGACACTTTTACTTAAAAAAGGAAAAAGTTTTTACCAAAAAATGTTTTAGCCATTTCAAAATCAAGTGTGGTGATTTTCCATGCCTTATTTAATAACATAATAGCTTAAAGGATTAACATGTTCTATGGAACTGTTTAGTTTAGGATGTTAATGCAAATTAAGGTGGGTATTTTTATATGTGATCATCAAATATTTTAGGGCCTTTAACAGTCTTCTGTTTCAATTAATAACAATAGTTATTTACACGTAATCCCAATGCCCTATTTGTGACTCTGATAAATGCAAAAACAACAGCAAAGTGGGAGTGTGGAGGTGACTCATTACAGAAATTAAAATGGCCTTCTTACTTGGTATTCTTAATGGCCCCTACGTACCCTCTTTTTGAGATGGGTAGGAGAATAACCCATAGCCTGGAGATTGTTATCGTCATCTGATATTAAAGGGGAAGAACATTTTAAAAATGCATTTGCTAGTCATTGCCACTTGCTTTGCAGAACCTAATACATGCCTCCCTGATAACATCAAAGGAATTAAGGCCCTCTTTATGTAACAAATGCTTTTCACAGTTCAATAACCATTCCTGTTGCTGCTATAATATTTCACCATGTTTTCCTATGCTCAGAGTAGGCCTTAGAATTGGAACAATTTCATTTCTATTGAAAATACCGTCTTCTTTCCTTGCTACATTTGACTACCCCTCTCCAAATATTTGCAGGTCATAATCATTATATTACTCAGCAAAGTGGAAAAATAATTTCTCTGTTTGGAGTCTAGTTTCTGAGACACGGATAATAAAAATGCCCTTTCTGTCTCAAGTTGAACCAAGAGGCAATGAGTGAATGGCTTGACACATGAACCAGAAACAAACAGCAAAAGACAGGAATCAAGAGCCCTAATGTGCTTGCAATAGAAACCATTGTGCAAGGCACTTCCTGGGAATTATTTTGGGATTATGGTGTCAAAATTGCTTAATCTGTAGGAAATAGCAAAGGCCTCTAAATCACATCAGCAAATATGCAGTAAGTGCTTACTCTGTGCCCAGGACTGAGTTTAAGCAGTTAGGAGAGCAAAAAGAATATATCAGTCAACTGCTGTATATGCAAAATTGGGAGTGGATTCCGATCACAGGAGGTAAAAAAAAAAAAAAAAAAAAATGAGGTACTTGTCTCTGTGCACATAATATATTCTTTACATCTCAATAATATTGAAGGAGGGTCTTTGGCTTTTCCCTAAATCTCCCTTAAACAAAACAAAACAAAGATTTACTCCAGATTAATTGTTTCAGTTTTTCAGGAATAAACTCCCTCATGGTTTTGAAACCTTAGAAGGAGGAATGGTTAAAAATCAACATCTGTCAGAGAGCAAAAAAAATGAGAGGAGGCAGGACTTGAAAAGACTCTCAGATCCTTAAAAGGACTGCTATGAAGACATAAGGGGAACAAAAAAAGAATGAGAAAAGAAACTAAGTGGGATGTATTTTGTGTGATTTAATTTAGCAACACCAGAGATGAAACAAACAAACAAACAAACAAAAAATGAGGGAGACCCATAAGCCTCTAACTTCAAGGAACAATTTCACATTTTGTTTTACGTTTTTTCCCTTACAAAATGAAAAAAACAAACTTTTTCACAAAAGCACCTAGATAGCTCTCAAGTTTCTCAACTCCTCCCCCCACCCAGCCCCTCTTTTAAGGAAAGATTCAGCCGTGCTTGTTGTTTTGAAAGGTTTCTAATCACAGGAGAACCACATTCAACTTTGCTCATTTCCTGTGCCAATTAACAGACAGGAGTGGTTGTCTCCCCACTGTTACCACAAGGAATTCCAGGGACTGACCCCTTCAGACTTGACTCCCAGTGCCTGGGAAAGTGGCATCAGTTTTGGAACGAGGCAGGAAGTTGGAAATCCTGAGAGTTACAGCCCCAGATCCTGAGAACCAGGAGGGCAGGCGGCTTGTAGGCATAGACGGTCGAAGCCCCAGGAGTGAAGAAAGCTTTATTTTTATTTCTAAGTTTTGTTCTGGAATGAAAGTCTGGGTCCTGGGAATAAAACAACAGCAAAAATACCTTGTTTTATGGGGCACTGAGGAGATTCCTGGGCCTGGTGAGCACTATATAAATCTGCCAAAGGGCCCGAGTATTCCAATCCCTGGAGTTTAAATGAAGGGAAAGAGAGGTCCTGAGGTTGGCCCAGCAGGACCGGAGCTGAGATAAAATGGGAGGCCCAGGATTCTCCTAGAGGCCAGGCCCCATACTTTCAGCAATTCTGACTTCCTTAGAACTCAGAGAAAAGTTGGACCAAGTGAGAAAAAGAGCCAGAGAAATAGGGAGAGCCTTATTTAGAAGACCTGATAATAGATAACATCAGAAAGGCTGAAACTAAGTCACCCAAAGTCACTTTCCTTGCTCAGATGATGATTCCAGTCCTTCCCCCTTGACTAAATCCCTGAAGCCTCTCTTCTTGTAGGAACTTGATAGCTGTCTATGGATGTGATCATCCTGTGTAACCAACTACCATGAAATTCAGTCACTTAAAACAACCATCATTTATTATGTTTCCAACTGCTCCTGTCTATGGTGGCCTTGATTCGGGTCAGATTTGCCTGATGGCACTGGGCTCCGCGAAAGGAGCAAGGTCAGTTGGGTGCTGAATGGCCCCCAGAGAACTCAGCTCTGCTCCACAGGGTCACTCATCCCCAGCCAGCCAGGCTTGCTGTCATGGTGATGGCACAGCTGCTGGGGCGCACAAAAGGCAGGATCTCTTAAAGCTGCCCGTTCCAATACAGGGAAATTGAACAAAGGGTTAGGAAAAAGACAAAACTTGCAGGCAAACCATAGCTGTGAGACATCCAGTAGGGGATGGGCGAGGGAAGGGTCAAGATGCAATGGAAGAGCATAAGAGACTATGGTGACAGTTCACAGGTGATATTAAGGATGGGAGATTTACAGGGATGACACCTGAGGGAAGAAATCATATTGTTCAAAAATGAACAATGATGTAAGAAAATAAAAACACTT